ACACGACAGTCCTTAAACTTTAAGTTTAGCTTGTGGTTTTAAAATTCAAAGTTATTTTATAGTTTGTGCAGAAGCAGTCGTGGTTATGAAATTGAAGTTAATGCAAAGTTACTATGACAGATATACAAGTTTAATAGTACATGTATGATAAATAGGAACAGCAGGGGGTCCTGACTCGTAGTAATTATGTGCCATGCAGGAAATGAATGACTTCCTTGGCATGTACGGAAGTTATTAAACTTTTAATACTCATTGTTTTGGTCCCATGTGAACCTTAATTGTAATTGTTAGTAGAAAATTGGTTTTAACTTTTGAGGGTTTGCTATCTTAAAAGGCAAGTCCACACCAAAAATAAATTACTTTCGATAGAAGCAGAAAAATCAGACAAACCAATCAAAAAAAGTTTGAGCAAGATCGGATAACTAATAACAAAGTTATGAATTTTTGATGACATGAAAAACTTTGAAAATCACAAGACAAATTGGCTACCCACTCATGAGTCTGTGACATCATTGCCTCACTACCCACTAATTGTTTTCTTTATATTGATAATACAAATTTCCTTTTTTCCCCCTAAAAATCTTATTTCTTCACACCAGCAGCCAATTTAGATTGACAGTAATATGTTTTTGTGTGGATGCATGTGTAGTGATTTCCATTGTTCCATGGTTTTACATACTTTTCCAAAAATTCATAACTTTCATATTAGTTATCCGATTTTGCTCAAACCTTTTTTGATTGGTTTGTCTGATTTTTCTGCTTCTATTAAAGTAAAAAAAAATTGGAGTGGACTTGCCTTTTAAAGTTTAAAACTACAATGGTCCCATGTGAACACACCTAGTATTACATACTCTACACACCAAGTGGTTTTAATCATCATGAAAATGGTAGAAAAATTTGGAATATAATTTTTTTTCTTCAAACCATGCTTATTGATTTAGGGTCAAATGTGTAACTTGACATTACAAAATGCTTTCCATATTTTGTCATTCTCCAACATACATGTAACAACGATTTGTATAGACTTAGCCAAAGTAATCATTTGAACACAGCTTCGACAGGTAAGCATATGTAAATGAAATTTTATTAATTGAATTCTAAATGTTCAGCACAACTCTGAAATCAAAGATGATGATTTTACCCAAGAAATTTCACTAGGAATTTTACAGTTGTCTGACTAGCCTCCACACAATACACAAGAAGCTTTTATCAGGCAGTCTTCAATTGGAGGTTGACAACCTACATCACCATATCTTACAGAACAATGCACACAGTGCTAAAAGGGGGAGGGGCAGAAAGCATGATCCAATCAAATTTGCTACTTCTGATCAGATGAGAGACGCTCAGTGCCCTTGGTAATCTCAATCAAACGCATTCACACTTTCCTCCTGTGACCAGACCTAGGAAACCCCACACAATGGGGAGACCAAGCGATCAATAAAGCCCAGTCGACAAGCGTGATATTGACACTGGCATACTCGAAGGAGGGGCAAGGGGGCCACATTTGCCCCCTCCTGACAAGACACATTTATTCAAAATTGCTTTTGATGATTAAACGACTCTGTTCACATTGATGAATATTTCACATTGATGTATATTTCACATTGATGTATATTACACATTGATGTATATTTCACATGTATTGTAATTTAGGTTTATTTGTAATTGTTTATCATTGTATTTTGTTTGGTATAGCGCTTAGAGACTTCGGTGGTAAGCGCTTTATAAGCACCGTTTTTACTATCATTATTATTAAGAATTCTGACCAAGAGAGAAGATGCATCCACATTAATTCAGAAGTAACCAGGATAAGAATCCAAGTAAGTCCAGTAATGCACAAAGTGTAATCTCAAAAGAATTACGGTACTTTCCTTCTTCAAATGAATTATTATTTTGAGCAATGCCCCCTCCCTGTGTAATGTAATGCAAACCTGGGCCCTATGTACATAAATATATATGGATCACAGTAAGTTGAAATGTTTTGCCCCTTCTGAGGCTAAGGTCTGGATACGCCACTGAATATTTACCGTTCAGTGTTTTCCAAACTGATACACTGTATATTAAAGCGAGCCCTTTATTGAGGGTAACTGGCAGAAACCTGACAGGCTTGTATGGATATTAGGTCCAATTTACCTCGATACAACAATTGAGTTGTTTTGATTTCACACTGGTGGACTGCTATGTGTTCCTGAAACGCATTCCAAGCGACAGTCTCCCTCTCATGTATAATAAATTGGTTGATTTTGACAGTTTGAGATGGGGTTAGTTTGGCAATAAAAGAGAGCGTGTTGATTCAGGCCTCTGATAAAAGTCTCCCTGAATTTTTGACCCACTTAATTGATGCCTCTTCCTGATCAAAAAATCTAATTTTCCAATCTCTCATGAGAAGTAGTAGGAAGGTTGAAAGATTCATCAATTTAATTGATCTTTGGGATTGATTGAGCTTTCAGCTTTCTGCCTGACTTGTCCTGTACATGATGCACATGACATCATGCGTGATATTACGTTAGCTGTAGTTATAATCATCTCCCTTACTCGTTTTTCCTTGGCTGCCTCTATCCCTGGCTTTAGCTCTGGTTGTCTTTCTGTCTTTGTTTCTTAAAGTTTTCATCTGTTTCACTTACTCCCCCATCTCCGTCTCCGTCTATCTCTCTCCCTCACCCTACCCTTCTCCTCTCTCTCTCATTTCTTTGTGTCTCTAAATTTCAATTTCTCTCCGTCTCTCCCTCTTTACCCCTCTTTCTTCCTTCATCTCTCTACCTCTATTTCTATTGTTGTAGTTCTCTCTCAGTTTCCATCCCTCTCACTCCCTCTCCCTCTCTACCCCTCTCTCTTCCTTCATCTCTCTACCTCTATTTCTATTGTTGTAATTCTCTCTCAGTTTCCATCTCTCTCCCTCCCTCTCCCTCTCTACCCCTCTCTCTTCCTTCATCTCTCTACCTCTATTTCTATTGTTGTAGTTCTCTCTCAGTTTCCATCCCTCTCACTCCCTCTCCCTCTCTACCCCTCTTTCTTCCTTCATCTCTCTACCTCTATTTCTATTGTTGTAATTCTCTCTCAGTTTCCATCCCTCTCACTCCCTCTCCCTCTCTACCCCTCTCTCTTCCTTCATCTCTCTACCTCTATTTCTATTGTTGTAATTCTCTCTCAGTTTCCATCTCTCTCCCTCCCTCTCCCTCTCTACCCCTCTCTCTTCCTTCATCTCTCTACCTCTATTTCTATTGTTGTAGTTCTCTCTCAGTTTCCATCCCTCTCACTCCCTCTCCCTCTCTACCCCTCTCTCTTCCTTCATCTCTCTACCTCTATTTCTATTGTTGTAGTTCTCTCTCAGTTTCCATCTCTCTCACTCCCTCTCCCTCTCTACCCCTCTTTCTTCCTTCATCTCTCTACCTCTATTTCTATTGTTGTAGTTCTCTCTCAGTTTCCATCTCTCTCACTCCCTCTCCCTCTCTACCCCTCTTTCTTCCTTCATCTCTCTACCTCTATTTCTATTGTTGTAGTTCTCTCTCAGTTTCCATCTCTCTCACTCCCTCTCCCTCTCTACCCCTCTTTCTTCCTTCATCTCTCTACCTCTATTTCTATTGTTGTAGTTCTCTCTCAGTTTCCATCCCTCTCACTCCCTCTCCCTCTCTACCCCTCTCTCTTCCTTCATCTCTCTACCTCTATTTCTATTGTTGTAGTTCTCTCTCAGTTTCCATCCCTCTCACTCCCTCTCCCTCTCTACCCCTCTCTCTTCCTTCATCTCTCTCTACCTCTATTTCTATTGTTGTAGTTCTCTCTCCCTCCCTCTCACTCCCTCTCACTCTCTACCCCTCTCTCTTCCTTCATCTCTCTACCTCTATTTCTATTGTTGTAGTTCTCTCTCAGTTTCCATCCCTCTCACTCCCTCTCCCTCTCTACCCCTCTCTCTTCCTTCATCTCTCTCTACCTCTATTTCTATTGTTGTAGTTCTCTCTCCCTCCCTCTCACTCCCTCTCCCTCTCTACCCCTCTCTCTTCCTTCATCTCTCTCTACCTCTATTTCTATTGTTGTAGTTCTCTCTCAGTTTCCATCCCTCTCACTCCCTCTCCCTCTCTACCCCTCTCTCTTCCTTCATCTCTCTCTACCTCTATTTCTATTGTTGTAGTTCTCTCTCAGTTTCCATCTCTCTCACTCCCTCTCCCTCTCTACCCCTCTCTCTTCCTTCATCTCTCTACCTCTATTTCTATTGTTGTAGTTCTCTCTCAGTTTCCATCTCTCTCACTCCCTCTCACTCTCTACCCCTCTTTCTTCCTTCATCTCTCTACCTCTATTTCTATTGTTGTAATTCTCTCTCCCTCCCTCTCACTCCCTCTCTCTGCGTCTATTTCCATTGTTGTAGTTATATCTCACTATGTGATACTCTCCTCAATATCTGTTTATTGATTTTAATTCACCATTCTTACAATCCTCACTGCATGCACCTCCACTCTAACTTATTTATCCTTTCTTTTCAAACATATCCAGTAAAATAACTGAATAATTTATATTCCTTGTAAATTGGACGTTGTTGTTGTTGTGTTTTGTTCCTCAAGAATGCAAGGTGGACTGGTTGAATTAGGGCCTTTATTGAATACTTTTAGATGTAAGTTTTTATTTTACATTCTCAAGAAACAAAAATTGGGACAAATCAGTTTATTACATACATATCAAATTACAAAACTTGGCAAGGGTATGAATAATATATAGTTTGTAACTATATATCGAGAGTTCAGTGGCACAAAGACGTAACTCAATATTTTTCCAAAACGATTATTTGATATAAAAATGTTCTGGAAAATGTGGGCTTTCCAGAAAACACAAAGACTTAACTCCACCCAACACCCCATTGAAGTCAATGACTAGTGAAACATGGACTTAACTCCTTTAAAAGGCCCAAATGCTCAGTGACATATAAACCACTTTTTCTAAAAATGGCCAAAATGGAGTTATTTCTTTGTGTCACTGACCCCTCTATATGCAAGATATGAAAGTGCACTCACCTATATTGATAACCTCCACAATTTCTGGATCTTTGGGAGCATCTAGAAGATGTTGATATAGACCAGGATTTTTCTTCTTGAGTTTAAGAGCACCACTGATCATCATCCATACAGCTCCTCTGTGTTCCGATGGGATGCCTTTACGGATGTACCGTTTCACTGGAAAGAAAACGAGATGAAAACAAGATGAAATCAGACCACATACGTATTCATAGAGTGAATTAAAGGTGCTATGTCCCTTTTGCAGGCAAAAAAAAAAAGAAAAAAAGAAGAAGATAATAATGACTGTAGTTATGGATTTCGACTTTGAACTTAGCGATCGGGGTCATTTGATTAAATAGTCTAATTTTCAGACGCTTGTACAGAATGGTTGTATGTTTTGTGCTGCTCAAAGATTCAATTAGCTTAATTTTGGCAATTACAAGAAGTGGGATATTGATGTAGAGAAATGCTCATGTACCCTTTACAGCTCATTTAATGTACATGTTAATACCAAAGAAAAAAAGAAGCCAGTCAGTCACTCAAGATTGTCTGACAGTGAAGTCTAGAAAGCAAATGGGTTTCCTTGCATAATTTGAATACTAGGACCCTGCTAACGTTTAAATTTCACAGATAAGACATACGTGACATATCCATGATTCCTGCAAAGTTCTACAGAATTTGGTGTTGGCTGCAAAAGTGATACACTACCTTTAACAAAGGAACATGAGAAAGACAAGGGATAATAATAATAATATTAATAATAAAAGGTCCATTCCAAATTTTATTAAGTTAAACCGAAAATCTAAATTCTTTTTGCACAATTGATCGTGAGCCCGCCAGCCACTGAGCAGCGCAAGATCGACGGGATGGAAGAAAAGCTGGGAAAAGACACATCTTGGAAGGGAAGATGGATGGTAATCGGGGAAGAGGAAGACTAAGAATTGGGATGGCGTCAGACTGTATAGGTGACAGATCATATGACATAATGAAGAAGGCGGCTTAAGATAGAGAGGGATGAAGAAAGGGACATGTCTATGGTTGAACTCCTGAGAGAGACCCATTCATTGGTGGGCAAATACGTATTGCCTGTGTTTTCATGAGGTGTTGACACAGGAGGCAGAAAGCAACAAACCAAGTTAATACAAGTAAATTTCTCATGCTGTCAACTTTTCTTGGTAGAGTAAATATGATTGTAGCTTGCAGTGTTTAAAAAAATACAGACAGCAATCAGTTAGAAAAGAACTACATGTATGTGCTTAAAGGGACTTTGTAACATTGTTCAGATGAGAGATAGTGGTGCAAAGGTAGTGACTTCAATGCTAGATGTACAATTAAAGATAATCTGAAAATTTGAGTGAAAACGGATCATTATTCATGGTACAAATTGGGAAAAACTGATCTGATTGATTCCTTAATTCTCCCAACTATATTATTCTACTTCTATTCTGCTACTTGTCAAGCCTGTTCAGCATCAAGACAAGGACAATTTAATTACATTTTAGGTGAATGTAAATCGTCACAAAGCAATAAAATGGCTCTACATGCCATTCCAGACAGTTAAGTGTTGACAGATTTTTATAGCCTGTTTTATGTATTTTTTTCATGGAAAAACGGTTGGGAAAATTCAAAAATGGTTGGGAGAATTTACTGTTAATCACTGTTAGAGGGTGCCTCACATCGACGCCTTCAAAGAAAACCATAAATATCTTTGTGGTTTGAGAATTTGTTTAGGATTTTTTTGCATGTCAGAGGGTTAGTATAGTAGAAGGAATATAGTAAGTAACATTTTATACAAAAATAAGCAATTTTTTTCATCAACCTTCAACAATGTTACCGAGTCACTTTAATAGTTTTGCCTACTTGGGAATACTTCTTTCATATCTACAGAAGACAGCAATTGAATACCAGACTAGATTCATCTGTATAAATAGAGGCAATAGTAGATAGTGGAACCAGAAAAAGTGTCAACTCATATACTTAAACACAGAGTTAAAGCCCTTCTGGCTCTGAACAGGCAATATGCAGTAGAGAGTAAATACATGTAGAAAGCTTGGAATCCCTTAACACCCAGAAAGATAGAGACGACAATTATAATGTTATTTAAGGAATTATGATTTCACATCTCCAGTAGACAGTACATAATCACTCTCTGTACCTGAGTATTTGTTAGAAAGAACTGCTTATGACAACTCCCTAAATTTTTGGAAATACTTCTTTCACATCTAAAGAAGATAGTAGATGAACAACTACACTCTTATTTCCACAGCGCCAAATTTCACTCTAAATGGCGTCAGCTGGGAGTCAACTCTATTCCTAGTCAAAGTGACACGGATTCCGAATCAATTTGACTCGGATTGTGTGGCATCAGCTGAGAATTGACTCAATTCAGAGACAAGATGACTCCTGAATAGAGTTGACTCCCAGCTGACGCCATTTAGAGTGAAATTTGACGCTGTGGAAATAAGAGTGTAGTAGATGAATAACTAATCTCCTGATCGTCTGCTTAAAGCTACAAGGGTGTTAACTCTGTTTAAAATGTTGAGAGTTGATGCCCTTTTGGCTCCAAATACAAATTTACTGCATATATTCTGAGCAACACTAACAGATCTTTTCAGAAAAAAATTCTCTGTATATCAAGAGAACAGCCAAGGAAAGCATACATGTAATTATTTCATGCCCCCAAAACACCCTCATTATTTGGGGGCATAACAGTTTCTTTTGTTACCCCTCCCCCCAGCCATCTTCCTGTATGGGTTGGAACCATGGCAATCGAGCACAGTAGGAAATTACCCTGTAATATATGCCCCCTACCCCAGGCCCTCATCCTCCTCCGTGAAGTCATATCCTTCTTGTGTTCCATTCAAAATCTCCTTCCATTTCCCGTCACTCTAATAATGGCCCGCCCCGGGCATCGCAATGCTCAACTCCTGATGCAGTGGCGCCATTATCGCAAGCCCCGCTAGACCTCTTCTCGTTCTTGTTTGTATTCTCTGAAGGACTTAAGTATGGTCACACCGGCAATTTAATCTGCGGGATTGACACAGCGAACCATTCAAGTACTGATATAGAATATCTTCTACTTCAGAACAGAGCCAAATACACTGCATTAACGGAGAGATGAGCCGTGTGCATACACACTTCTACAGGATCTCACGCTGTACAGTCTGTGTATTAAAAAAGGATTACGCACATTTGGTCGTTTATTATTAAAATGTCATAATCAATGCAACGTTCCAATCTATTTCATGTTAATGACTAATGAGTTACTTGTTGTCTGTCTAATGATAACCTATTCATGATCTTTATGCGACAGATGAGGTACATCAGGGATTTTAAAGGGTGCTGTCAACATCTCCTTGTACCGAGTTTGGGCTGATGCACCGAATGTAGGTCAGGTCATATATGCATAATTGCATATGTCACTTTGTTCTTAAATCCTTTTGAAGTTAAATTCTGCTTCATGCTTCATCTGTTCATTATTTAAAGTGATCCAATGTATTTAAGATTTCATATGACCAGATTTCAATCGACAGGATAATTTTAAATTATTGTAAATGACCTACTAACTTCTTGTCTCAATTCTAATTGCATATGTCACTTTGTTCTTAAATCCTTTTTAACTTAAATTCTGCTTCATGCTTCTTTTGTTCATAATTCAAAGTGATCTAATGTATTACAGATTTCATATGACAAGATTTCAATCAACAGGATAATTTTAAATTATTGTAAATGACCTACTAACTTCTTGTCTCAAAATATCTAACATTTCTATGCTCATTTGCCCAATGCACCATTTCACATGCATAAAGTGCATAAGGTGTAAAAGGTATTTGTCTCATACACCACATGACAACTCATAGATTTACGAACCTCAACGATAGAATAAACGCAAGAAAGAACACTACCAAAGATATTGACAGTAAAATTTAAATGAAAAAAGGTAGTAAACTTTGTCCATTTTGAACGATGACAAGGCTTACCTTGAAGGTACTATGTCCCATTTGCAAGCCAAAAAAATGAAAAGGTTAAATTCCAATGGCATTTGAAAGATAATACTAATTTAGAACTTCCCTAAAAAAAGGTGGGGCTTGAAAATGTCTTAAAGTGGAAAAATAACGACTTTAGTTGTCAAATCGACTTAGGAGCTATAGAGCCAATAAGTAATAGTCTTGATTTTCAGACCATTGTACCGAATGGTCACACGTTTTATGCTGCGCAAAGATTCAATCAGTTTAATTTTGGCCATCACAAGAAGTGGTTTATTGATGTAGACAAATGCCCATGTACCCTTTACAGCTCATTTTAGGTATGTTATTACCAAAGAAGAAAAAAGCCAGCCAGTCACTGAATAGTGTCTGACAGTGAAGTTTAAGCAAGTCAACAAGTTTCCTTGCATAATTTGAATATTAGGACACTGCTAACGTTTAAATTTCACAGATAGGACATACATGACATATTCATAATTCCTGCAAAGTTCTACAGAATTTGAGGTTAGCAGCAAAAGGAACATAGTACCTTTAAACAAGGGATGGGAGAGAAGCCAAGATTGTGTCATCATGAGGAAGAGAATGTCATGAATTTATATAGTCAATGTGCCTTCTCTTAAGCCTGAGTTGACATTGTCACCTAAGGTATTGTTTTTCTTTAAAAGTTTTGCAGAGCTCTTTAGAAGCTTTCTCGAGCTAATCCTCTTCATAGTCCCATGTATTTTTGCTATGTAATGTATGATGAAAGCCAGAAGGAAATTGACTCTACAAAAAAAAGAGCTACCATCCTTTCATTTTCGGCCCTCAGCAGACAATATTTCTACATAAAAAAGTTAAAATAAAATGAGCACACAATGAAGGAATGATTTGCAAAATAATAAATTTCAAGGCAAACATCTTCCCTATCTGTGACCAAATCAATCCAACTGGAATCAATTTACAATCGCCCGGCCTGATCACATTTCTCCTCGTTAACTCCAGACTGATGAATAAACCAATGCTTTTCTCTGAAATGCTTGTACCGATCACAAATTTGTTTGCCCCGGCGGCACCAGGGACGTGTTTAAATATCCACAATCCTTGGTGCACTGTGAGGAATATTACCCATGCATCACAGCGTTGACAATCACTGTGCTGATTAAAGAAACGTGCTCGCTATAACTTGATTTGAAAACTACAATTTGATTTTCA